AAGAGAGAGAGTGAGAGAGACACAGAGACAGAGACAGAAGACAGACAGAAGGCAGACAGAGGGAGACAGATACACACACACACACACACAAACAAACGTCCACGCACCCTCCTCCGTGGCCTCATGGTTCAGTCTGGTAATGATATCCTGGGCCTTGCTACTTCCCGCCAGTGTGAAGGCGTAGGAAGCCAGGGCCAGGTTGTAGAGGTCATCGTCGTGCTCCATCTGGGTCTCCAGGTAGGCAAGGGCATTGGTGCGGGCAGACTGGAACTTGGTGGCGTAAGACTGGGACGAGAGCCGAGGTGAGGTGAGGTGAGGTGAGGTGAGGTGATGTGAGGTGAGGTGAGGTGAGGTGAGGTGAGGTGAGTGAGGTGAGGTGAGGTGAGGTGAGGTGAGGTGAGCATGAGATGAGAGGACATTATGACAAAGTGAAGTGAGAGGAGGTGAGGTGAGGTGAGGTGAGATAGAAGGAGATGAAAGAAGATGAGATAAAATGACAAGAGATAAAACGAGATAAATCTCTAGGTGAGTCAGGGCTCTGGTATGAGCTGTCTGGAACAGGGACGAGAGGTGAGGTGAGGTGAGATGAGATGGGGTGGGGTGAGATGAGATGAGATGAGATGGGGTGAGGTGAGGTGAGATGAGATGGGGTGAGGTTAGGTGAGATAAGATGGGGTGAGGTGAGGTTAGATGAGATGGGATGAGGTGAGGTCGGGTCAGGTCAGGTCAGGTTAGCATGAGATGAGAGGTAATGTGAAGTGAGTTAGAAAGAGGTTAGATCAAATGGAGTGAAATGAAATGAGTTGTTCAGGCGAGAGGGGATGAAGTGAAATGGAAGAAAATTAGATAAAATACTGGCATGAAATGACATACGATAAAGTCTAGGGATATGCATGAGGAGGGGGATAGATAAAGTGATAAGAGAAGAAATGAATTGAGGTGAGGTGAAGTGAGGTGAGATAGAAGGAGGTGAAACGAAAGGTGAGATAAAATGGCATGAGATCAAATGAGATGAGGTTAAGCGGCAAGAGGAAAAGTGGAAAATGGAAAGAGGACGAGCCAAACAGAGTCTGGCGTAATGACGTGATATCATAATTATGGTCGCTTGTAAGGACAAGCAGGCACACCCAGATTTCGGGGGTTTCCAGAAATCTTGACCTACGTCAAAAATGGGCTTTTCCCGACCTATAGAAGAGGTTTGGTTTCATTGGTGTGTACATGTGTTTGGTTATAGAGAAAACTCTCCGTGTCTTTTAATGAAGCTGAAAAGGGGGCAAAGACCTCACTCTCGATTTTCTCAAAACAGCACTTTTTTGGGGATAGCCCCCTTGTGCTTACAAGCGACCATATGAGGTGAGGTGAAGTTAGATGAACTGGAAGGCAGTCAATTGACATGGAATGAGATAAGTTGAGATGGAATGAAGTGAGATGAAATGGAAGTGAAATGAGAAGAAGGAATTGTCTCAACAGAATAACATCCTAAAGCTTCTATCTTCTGCCTTCAAGTACCTACCCCAGTTTTGAAGAGATCTTGATTTTCCAACAAGGCAATGAAAACAAATAGTGACAGAGCTGTACCGCTGCCGGCCTTGCCCTGTGGAGAAGGAACACAGTGGGGTCACAAACAGCCTAATTAATGAAAATTTAAAAAATCAAGTCACTTTTAATGCTTTTTAGACAAAAAGGACACATAAAATGTCCGATCAGAAGTAAATCATAAGTAAACCAAAGACAGAGTAGAGGGAGTGTGCAAACAACCATACATACAATTATAATATTATTTAGAAACATTTATTATCACATTTAACGATACGCAGTTTGCCGCTTGCTTTTTAAAATTTTCAATAAGGAGAATTGGACCGATTGATTGAGTATGTGTTTTACGGCTCTATCGACTCAATTTTGGTCATTTAAGTGTCTCGGAATTGGACCGAATAACACGTATGAACAAAGGGGTTATGATTCAACACAAAGTCTTTTCGTGTGTGGTCGAAGTACCAGTATGTGCTGCTTCAAAGAGTTTTTTTAAAACAGAATTGCGTCTTTTCAGAAGTGGGTATGTGGGACCTGTCATGCATGTAACCCTGTCAGATCATGCTACCCTGTCAGATCATGCTACCCTGTCAGATCATGCTACCCTGTCAGATCATGCTACCCTGTCAGATGACTAGCGGTCTTAATAATGTACGAATCGGAATGAACGCCTCTCCGAACATTTCCTCTCAAGAATCTTTCGTTATTTAGTTGACGTAAATTTTGAAGGGGACGGGATAGATAGATAGATAGATAGATAGATAGATAGATAGATAGATAGATAGATAGAT